GGCTACATAAATTCCAGGCCAGTCTGGGCTGCAGTGTGAGGTCCTGTCCCCAAAACAAACTTAAAAAGAAAATTAAAATCCTCCTGTTGATGTCTGGTGGTGGTGACACACACCTTTAATCCCAGTACTGGGGAAATAGAGGCAGGCAAATCTCTAAATTCAAGGCCAGCCTGGTCTACGGAGCAAGTTCGAGGACAGCCAGAGCTATACAGAGAAACCCTCTCTCAAAATAAATTGAAGAAGAAGAGGAGGAGGAGGAGAGGAAGAGTTTATTTTGAATTCATGGGGAAATGAGAGGGATATGATTTTTTTTTCTAATTTCCTTTCTAAATTAGGCATGTTGGTACATGAGTGTAATCCCAATACTCAGAACACGGAGGCAGGAGGATGGAGAATTGAAGACCAGCCTGGGTTATATAGTGAGATTCTATCTTTAAAAAAAAAAAAAAAAAAAAAAAAAAAAGTTACCTTCCTAAATAATGGACTCCTAAAAAATTGTTGCAAGCCAGGTGGTGGTGGCACATGCCTTTAATCCCAGCATTCAGGAGGCAGAGCCAGGTGGATCTCTGTGAGTTTGAGGCCAGCCTGGGCTACAGAGTGAGATCCAGGACAGGCACCAAAGCAACACAGAGAAACCCTGTCTTGAAAAACAAAAACAAACAAACAAAAAATTATTGTATAAAGCCAAGAGAATTGGGTTGTAACTTAATGTGTTCAGTTCGTAATATTAACGCCTGAACTTGCAAAGGCTCCTACAGACAGCCCCTGATTCACTATTTAACACCAGCAACAGCACTATGCACTAGAGGTGATTTCCTTCTTTTTTTTTTTTTTTTATTGTGGTAACATATGCATGTAATTTACCACTTTAGCTCTCTTGAACATAATTCAGTGGCATTAAGTACATTCACACTGTTAGGTAACCATCCCGTGGTCCACCACCTTAACCTTCCCATCAGCCCTTGTCATTTGAAGTCACTCCCCATGGTCCCTTCTCTGGCACAGTGGTGACCACGGATTTTCCTCTGGGGATTGCCTGTTCTAAAGAAAATCGTGTCATAGTTTTTCTTTTGTGTCTTGCTTATTCACATCACATATGCTTTCCTTTCAAGGTCCATCCATGGCACGGCATACGTCAGGATTCCCTTTTGAAAGCTCGTTTATTCACTCATCAGTGGATGGACATCTTTTGGTCATTGTGAATAATGATGCTGCATTTGAACATCACCATACAGATATCTGCTCAAGACATTGCTTATGATTTCCATTTTTCAGAAATCCAGAGTTTAGTTGGGCGGCAGTGGCGCACGCCTTTAGACCCAGCACTCGGGAGCCAGAGCCAGGCAGATCTCTGTGAGTTTGAGGTCAGCCTGGTCCTACAGAGCAGGATCCAGGACAGGCACCAAAACTACATGGAGAAACACCGTCTCGAAAAACCAAAAAGAAATCCACAGTTCAAAAAGGCCAGCGTCAACTCATAGTGACTCAGGTCATGTAGAGCTGAGTTCAGTCCAGGAAGAAGGTGCTGGAGGCACTCCTGCTGGGAAGGTGTTTTATTTGTCATTTAAGTGCTCAGCTGGGGTGCACAAGTAGATACCTATTTGTTGGTGAGTAGCCAGGAGCCTCTATCCCAGATAACTGGCCTCTCCCTTAGAACTCTCAACCACTGTAATTCAGCAGCCAAAGAGGTGACATCTGACCCTTAGGATCCTATTTCTAACTACAGCATCTATTCTGATTGGTCAGAGATCAATGCCATGCTGTCTTTGATATTCTGATTAGTGTTCTTGTGGTGGCAGGGTGGCCTTCGGGGGAGGGGTGAGCTAAATGACCTTGAAGCCCTGGGGATTAGAAAGAAACAAGCCAAGATTAATAGCTAAAACAGAAGCTTCAATTTAAGAACCAGAAGAAGGAGCCAATAACCAGAGCAAGAGAAAGGTCATTAGGGCAGTCCCATGTGGAAGTTTCGAGTGCCCTTCAACTTTCAAGGGACCATTGCTTGACTGAAGTTGAAAAAGGTGGCCCCAGTCAGGGCAGGGAGAGAGCTATTCACCTTTGACTCTGTAATCTGAAGGACAGTCTTGGCACCCAAGGGAGACAAGGGAAGCCATGAGAGACTAGGGTCTACCTCAGATATCCAGGGCTCACTGAGAAGGGGCAGTGTGCAAAGTCAGAGCCCCAAATGCTGTCTCCTGAGGAGAAATCCCCTCCCCGATGGTTATCTTTCTTAGAGGTAGGAGCAGGCAGTCGAGCTGGGCGCCAGCCAAGTGCAGTGCCTGATTGTGGTAAATGTGGGGGCTGGGGCTGAAGGAGGGGAGTCCCCGGGGACCTCACAGAGCTTTGTGGCCACGCTGAGCCCATCGCTGCTCCCAGTCCTGCTCTTCATGCCCACCTCACTGGTGACAAAGAGGGTAAAGTTCCCTACTTCCTCCTGTGTGTCCTCTGCTGGGGCTGAAGTCTCACACCGAAGACACACACTGCTCTCAGTGCCTGATTCTGCTGATCCTGGAAAGTTCTATCTGCCCACATTCATTTCTCCTGCTTCTGGGTTGCTCTGCTGGGTTGCTTTTGGGGGAAGCACACACACATACTCTCTCTCTCTCCGCCCCCCTCCGTTTTTTCACATAGAATGGATTACCGGAACCATTTTTAGGCACACAATTCAGTAGCATCCAGTACATTTCACTCTTCTGCTATCCCATGCTTTCTTAAGAAGTCCAGTTTTTTGTTTCTTTGGGGTTTTGTTTCTTTCTTTGGGTCTGATCCCAACCCCTCACTCTGGGGACTATGAAGAAAGAAGGCTGTCCCTGTTTCAACCTTCTGTGTCCCTAATCAGAGTGACTTACTTATATTAGACACAGTATCGATCCAAGGACAATACCACTAAGGGGAAAGACCTTTTCTCCTGTTTCACATGGCCCGGCGGTGGGGATTAGCTTGGAAGCTGAAGGTAGCCTTTGTCTCTGTCTCCAGGACCTGCCCAGGAAGAGAGCAAAGCTGGATGAGGACAGACAGATTCTTGGTGGTATTTTGGAGACCTGGATCTAGTCATGCCTGAAGTAACTGCCTTTAGACTTTTTCAGTTATATGACATAACAAATCCTCTTTTTGTGATGAAGCCGCTTTCAGTTGGGCTTTGTTATCTGTAGTTTAAATAATCCTGTCTAGGGCTGGCGAGGTTGTGTACCTCATTGGCAGAGTCTTATCTAGCATGTGCGAATACCGGGGTTTGATTCCCCCCATGCCACCAAAATAATAAATAAATAAGCAGTGAAAACAATCCTATCTTCTAGATCCTTGAAATCAGGTTTACCGCTATCCAGGAGGCATCATGATCTCAGAGTGTCACGGCCCTTTTTTGGTTTCTTCTTTGCCCCTCCAAGCTTTCAGAAGCCATTGGCTTAACCCATCAGGTTGCACACAGAGCCTTCCCTCAGCAATCAGGCTGAAGAGAGTGGTTTGGAGGGAAAGGAGTAAATAATAAATTCCACCAAGGGCAGAGACATATACATATGACAAATTTGTCACTGAAATGACGTGTGAGCAGAAGTCAGTGACACTTGTGACTGTGCTACAAACAGGTCCCAGGAAAGATGACCAATCCCCTTCGGTGTTGGTTGCAAACCCACTCTCTCCTGATCTATGTGGTTATCACACGGATGAAGCATAAACTGAGCTATCAGCTATCCACAGAGGAGTCTGGCCTCCACTCCATGGTGGGATGTGCACTACATACAGCCAGAAGGCAGCCTGTGGTCTGTACCGGGTCTTTTTTCAAGTCTAGAAGACCAGGGACAGATGGACCAGTGCACATGTTCCTCACACAGCCCTCAGGACAAAGACACTGGGAGCCTGCTCTCTCTAGGATGCTCCTGTGGCATTAGGATGGTGGCTGAAGAAACATGGTAGTGAATTCCAGGACAGCCAGGTGGAGTGTGTGTGCAAGTCCACAGAGCTCCCTGGAGGGACCCATCAAATGAAGGCACCTTCTCTGTGAGGCTGTTTAGTTTGGTTTTTAACCTAAAGGCAGGTGTTGAGGTTATTTTCCTGGGGCCCACGAATTTATAACCCTATCTAGGAACTCTGAGGCCCACATAAACAGCCTACGGGGGTGTCCCCAGGCTAGAAAGGCCTCAAACACCTGCAGCGTTGGAAATAGTCTGTGTCTCACAGTCAGTAGCAAAAAGGGACCCTGGAAAGCCTGCCTTAGTCTGCTCCAATCCTAGTCACAGTGGGGCACGTGTTCATCTCCGTAGAGCAACGTGGAGCCAGCCACCGCTCTGAGGGTAATGCTTCTTCCTGCCCAGCTCCCGGGTGTTTGTGAGGACATGGGTGTGTGTCTGTGCCTGGAGAGGCCAAGACAACTACAGCAGAGCACTGAACGGGAGTCAGAAGAGCCTGGCTCTTGCCTCCCTCTGATATTCCGATAGCTGTGGATCAGAGTAACATCCTAGTAGATTTTACCCGGGACAAAGACTAGGAGAAGGGCTTTTGCCGTCTTTTGGATGAACACACGCAGCTGACCCTGGGAAGATCCCGTTAAGTCCTTGTGACTGTAGATGAGTCTCCGTGCCTATGTCTATGTCAGGGGGAAAGAGAGCCGATGCAAACACCCGCACGCTGAGTTGAGTGTTCACAGCGTTGTCTCTTTATGTCCGGTCACTCGGACCAGGCAAGGAGCGTTAACCTTTGTACCGATGAGAAAGCACGGCTCACAACACTCACTGACCCGTTCACAGTCTCCCTGCAGAGGGCAGGAATCAAACCACAGCGGGTTCTGAAGCCCACATCACACCCCCTCTCTCAGCTCGAAGAGTTCCTGAGGGAGGGAGGGACTTCCACCTACACCAGAGGTTGTAGCCCCCAAACCCAGCCCGAGGCGGGGGAGTCTGGATACCCGCAAACCCAACTTCACCATGTGCGTGCGCGGGGGCGCGGGCGCGGGGGCAGGGGCGCTGCCTGACCTCCCACCACCCAACTCTTTCCCAGCTCGCGCTCACCTCGAGGAGCCTGGCGGTGCCCGGCGGTGAGCCCACGCACGAAATACTCCCGGCTCCCGCAAGCCCAGGCGACTCCGCGGGGAGCATCGTCTCCGGGGGGCCCCGGCCTCCTGGACAGCAGTTGCCGCTGCCGCGCTGCCTACTCGCTCTGGGGCATCAGATTATTTTAGCACTTGCGGAAGGAACAGAGGACGGAAACTGAAGTCACATGGAGAGCTCGCCGCCGCTCAGCGAGCGACTCAGCACTCAGCGAGTGTCTTAGAAGGAACTGCCACCGCGGGGGGCGCGCGGGGTGGGGTGGGACAAGGACGCGGGCGGCACACGACCCCTGGAGGACCTGCAGGGCTGTCACCACGCAGGTGCAGCCTGCGAAGACGTCAGGATCGCTAAGCTCCCCTCCTGGGTGGGTGAGCACGGGAGCCTGGCTTGTGGTCGGTGATCCCAGGACATCTTCTCCACGCTTCTGTCCGAGGATCAAGTTGGGATAGAATTTGGTGAAGGGCAACGCAACTTTGTTTAATGGGACAAGGGGACGAGTCCACCATTTAGAAGGGTTGTCCACCCATTAATCTTTGTTTTTATCTACTCAGCTAGTCTTTATGAATCATTTTTTATGGGCACCGTGCTTTTTTTTTTTTTAATTAAGTAAATAAATGGAAAAGAAAGTTGGCCATGGTGGCACACACGTGTAATACCAACCCTGGAGAGGCTGAGGCAAGAGGACCAGAGTGTAAGATTGTCCTGTCCTAAACAGCAAGTTTGGGGCTGCCCTGGGGCTCATGCTGCCCTGCCGCAAACAAGTAAGCAAGGACATAGGAAGACACAGAGGGGAAAGGGTTTGTTTTTAATGGAGCTTGCACTGTAGACTGTCAGTACCGTGAACTTCTCGGCTCTATTGAGTATGGGTCGGTTGTTTGATTTGCTCTGTAGAAAGTTCTCTGCCAGTGGTAGCAGTGTGCCTAGGGCTTGCGCAGATCCAACCCACACCTGGTCTCAGGGCTGAGATGGAGAAGTGGACATGCGCGCCCATCCCCAACCACTCACAAAGGAAAAGTTAGTTTCTCCAAGGGTGTCTCACTGGGTATACAAACCACACTTAAGGGCAGGCCCCATGCCTAGCAGGAGATGGCCAACACAAAACTAAACCTTGTTCATCTCCAAGTCAGACTCTAACCTATCCTTCATGGGGCACGGTCCTAAAAATGTGTGGGACCCGTTCATTCCTTCCTTAGGGTTTTTATGACTTACCATTGTACCCTTTACCTGACCAATTTTAAATCCAGATTCAGCTGGTTTAAGAATCATTAATGTCTGAGTTCTAACATCCATATCCACTTCTCTCTCTCTCTCTCTCTCTCTCTCTCTCTCTCTCTCTCTCTCTCTCTCTCTCTCTCTCTTTCGAGACAAGGTTTCCCTGTGTGCAACCCTGGCTGTCCTGGAACTAACTCCCTTTGTAGATCAGGCTGGCTTTGAACTCACAGAGATCTGCCTGCCTTTGCCTCCCAAGTGCTGGGTGGTATGTGCCACCACCGCCTGGCTACTTTTCTTTTAAGACAGGGATTCATTTTAGTCTAGGTTGGCCTGGAAGTCACTACATAGTCATAGCAGGCCCTGACTTGATCTTCCTACGGTCCCTTCCTGAGCACTGGAGTTTTACATGTGCCCCCCACCCCCAAGTCATCTACTTGTATATGCTTTATACATTGGAGTTCTCTGCAAGATTTCTTTCAAGGAAACTTAAAAACTGGAGGTCTTAAAGTTTGTGGAGAACCAAGGCAATCAGCTGGAAAATAGCACAGATTGCTCTCTCCTATAGTAGCAGCAGAAGGACCCAAAGACTTGCAGGGGACACTAAGGTAAAGCTGAAAACAGGACACTTCTCATGCCAGCAGGGCTGAAAGTCTGAGTGTCCAGCCAGGATTCTCCTGCTCATCTGGATGCTCTAGGCTCCCTCCCACAGCCCAGAGATCACAGTCCTTGGTCTCCAACACAACCCAGAGTGGTCCCGCTGCCACTGGCCAGGCATACCCCTCTCAGCAGAGCTGTGTGCCTCTTTCTTGGCCTATGGGGTTTGGTCTGGCTCCTGTTGAACAGTGCAGGCTGTGTGTTAGATTATTAGCATCTTGTCTTGTTGCCATGGCGATATCTGACCCAAGCAATTTAAAGAACGAAAGGTATTTGGGTTCACAGTTCCAAGCTCCATCATAGTGCGGAAGTCATGGCGGTATGAGCCGAGGACAGTGTGGGTCACATTGCACCTGTAGTCAGGAAGAAAGAGGAAGGCGAATGTTAGTGCTCACCCCGATTTCTTCATTTTACCCAGCAGAGGACCCATTGAATGGTGAACGTGAATGGTGCCATTCACAGCTCGGGCAGGTCTTCCCACCCCCATCTAATCGAGTTAATCCTTCACAAGCATGAAGTGTGTCTCTTCTGCTGGATCCTGTCAAGCTGACGGTCAATATTAACCCTCACACTGTCAAACAGTGCTTGTACACTCCTGTGTGGTCTGAGGCAAGCGTCTAAAGGCATGGCTGGGGCTCCTTCCTTCAGGAAGCTTTTCCCTGCCTCAGAAACCTCTTCTTCTGTACACATTGTATACAGCTCCCTCCAGCCTCACGACAGAGCTTATGTTGTGATTTATCTGTTTGGAATTAGGTCTTGTTTCCCCAGTCACACTGTCAAGTTTTGAGGGTAACAACCACTTGCTATACCAAAAACCATACAGGCTAGTGTGCATAAAGAGGCTCGGTAAACATTTGTTCAAAGAAGAAAGGGGGAAAGGAAAGAAGAGAGCGAGATTGGCAATCAATCAATCTATCTATCTTGTCCATGATTCTCCAGTTATTGACTTCTGAGGGTTGTTGTCGGGTTGTGATGGTTAGATGAGCGTGACCCCCATAGGCTCTTACATTTGAACACTTGGTGTTGTGAGGCAGCTTCCTCTGAGAGCAAAGTACTCTATCCTGCAGGGAAGCTCCTTAAACCAGAAAGTAAGCCGCTCAAAACAGTTTCAGGAGGTCCCTGAAACTGACCAGATTCACTAGGCTGCTCCCTACCAGAGTAAGCAATAAAGACTCCCGAGGGTCACTCTCAGACTAGACCAGCTGCCTGGGAGGAGCAGAAACCAGCTGAGCTGCCCGGAAGAAGGTTAGACCAACTGAGGCACTTGGAAAGGACACTGTCCCACCTGTGGAGCTGCCTGCATGCAGGCCATGCTGTATGCTCCAGGTTCCCAGCGTTTGTGAGCTGTTACCCATTCTGGGGTGGTCTTTGGTGACACGCTTGTCTTTGAGTCATTTCTGCTCCTGTAAGAAACCCCTCACCCATATTCCTGCAGTGGTTTGTGGCTTGCAGTGGTTTGAATGAAAATGGCCCCTACAGACTCATATATTTGAACGCTTAATCACCAGGATGTGGAACTGAGAAGGATTAAAAGGGTTAGGAGTTGTGGCCTTGTTGGAGTAGGTGTGGCCTTATTGAAAGAAGTGTGTCATTGGGGGTGGGCTTTGAGGTTTCAAAAGTCTACACCAGGCTATGCCAGGCCCAGAGTCTCTCTGCCTGCCTGCTTGCCTTCGGATCAGGATATAGCTCTTAGCTACTTCTCCAGCTTGCCATGCTTCCTGTCATGATGATAATAGACTGACCTCTGAAATTATAAGTAATCCCCCAGTTGAATGCCTTCTTTTGTAAGAGTTACGTTGGTCCCAGTGTCTCTTTGACAGCAATAGAACATCAGCTAAGACGACACCCTAAAACAACTCGTGGTTCACCGAGTTGGGCTTTGATGGTATCCATACTTTGGTCTGTCGTGGGCTCCCTTTCTGGAGTGAGTAGATGTGTGTGTTGCGTCTCCCCAGGAAGAGTCTTGTATAATGCTTGGTCTCTAGTTGGCTGCTGTTTGTGAAGGATTAGGAGGTGTAGCTTTGCTGGAGGAAGTATGTTACTAGGGGCGGGCTTTGAGGCTTCAAAAGACTCAAGCCATAAGGTGTAAGCTCCGAGATGTTTCTGCCTCCAAGCCTTTGCTCTGCCATCATGGACTCTAACCCTCTGAAACTACATGCCCAATTAAACCCTGTCTTTTATAATTGGCCTTGGCCATGGTGTTTTGTCACAGCAATAGACAAATAACTAAAACAAGTTTCCTTTTTTTGAGACAGGATTTCTCTGTGGGTCTCTTTCAGTAGTTCAGGCTGGCCTCAAACTCAGAGATCCACCTGCCTTTGCCTCCCTAGTGTGAGGATTAAAGGTGTGTGCCACTACTGCCTAGCTTCTTTTCTTTCTTTCTTTCTTTTTTTTTTTTTTTAATTTGAGACAAAGTCTTTCTACATAACCCTGGCTATCCTGAAACTCACTATGTAGACCAGGCTGGCCTCAAACTCAAAGCTATCCTCCTGCCTCTGTCTGCCAAATGTTGGAATTAAAGGTGACTTTAAAGGTGACTGCCACCACCTCTGGTTCTATTTCTATTTCTTTTTTTTTTTTTTTTTTTTTTTTTGTTTTTCGAGACAGGGTTTCTCTGTGTAGCTTTGCGCCTTTCCTGGAACTCACTTGGTAGTCCAGGCTGGCCTCGAACTCACAGATATCCGCCTGGCTCTGCCTCCCGAGTGCTGGGATTAAAGGCGTGCGCCACCACCGCCCGGCCTATTTCTATTTCTTAAACTAAGCTTCCTAATAGCTTGTCAATTGTGGGCCACTCAGTCTCCCACAGAAATCAAAAGGCACTGGTTTTGTTTACCGATAACCAGATACTCTTCAGGTCCAGGGTCAGGAGACTGAAGGGTCACACATCTGGGTAGGAGCAGGTGGGAGAAAAAGGCCCAGCTTCCTCCTCCTGCGGAGGTGTCCATGGGAAAGAGGAGACAGTGCTTGTGACCCAGCCATGGAGTGGCAAGAATTAGGCCTAGAAGGTCACCTGGGGTCCAGAGACTGTCCATTTGCTTCACCTCTGGCATTTTCTACCTGCCATGGGTTCTCTTCCCCTCACCACAGATAGGGCAACCTTCCTATCCTGGCCTTTCATCTTGGTGTCTGGGCCTGGCCAAGCAGTGGGTTGATGCATGCTCTACTTCTTCCAGCCTCCGCACATGACAGGGAGGGGATTTCCTTTGAGGCCTTCACTGGGAATTGTCCTCTTGCCCCACGTCAACTGGCTGCTGCAGGAGACTCTTCGGTAGTTTCATTTCCCTCATTTGGAATAAAAAGTTGAAGAACCAAAAATCCAA